CTCCTGACACTTCATACTGCCATAACTGTGGATCCAACGTGTCATCGTGTGGTTCACTTTACGCCTACATGTCATCAGGCCGTCAAGGTTGCCAATGTGCAGAGCTACATGGGCGGTTCGAGGAGATCACGTTCCAAGCCGATGGTGAGCAGTGTGATTTGCAGGAATCTGCTGGCAGCTCTGATGATGGAGGTGGCCAAACAGAGCATTATGTCAAAAGCAAGGAGTCTACTCATGTGAATGGCCTTGTACAGATGGGTAGAAGAGATCTTTCTAGTCAGCTTTGCTTCAGTTCATTTCAAGAGCAATCATGTTCATCTAACCATTATGAGAATGACACTAACCATCACACAAATGGGTTCGACATGAAGCATGAGGTAAAGATTGCCAAGTACAAAGCACGGAAAATGGCACAGTTAAAGAAGGCTATCCATCCATCTCTTGACTTTGACAATGCATATGGAGTAAGTAGGATGAAGCCTTCACTGAACAAGCTGCAATCTTTCCATATTGGAAAGAACCACAGTTTCCGCGTACCAACAAGCCCAGGTAAAGCAGGTACGGATTATCATTCTGACTTGAACAGCCAAGTATGGCATAGCAGGCACCCCTATCCGGGAGCCCAAAGGGCCCGGCATTGTGAGGTCAATGCAGCTGGGAGCAGCCCGGATTATATGTTTACAGCGAGGCGCTACTATACCGGAGCTCAGTTGCCGCCAAATCTTCCGAGAACAAAATCTGTACCCCCCCTAAGTGCCGTCGACGCCTGAAATGCTCTTGCCCTGTAAATTTTATAGTGTGTACATCTGTTGGTTCTTTTTGTATCCATTATGAAACAAAGTTGTTGTGCAGGAGACTGAATGTGACAAGGTCGCATGTGGATTAAGGCTGAGCTGTTTGTAAATTTCCATGTTGTGAATCCAGAGAGGTTAGGCTGTACAAGTGCAATCTACATCATTTGCCTCACTGGGATAACCTGTTTTATCCTCCTTAATATAGGCAAGAGCCTTTCTTTCACATCTTCGGATTTCAGAGATGCAAAGTTACTGCTACTTAATTGAGTTGGCAGAAACAAAGCCAGTGCCAGAACTGATCACATGATCAAAATAATGAGCTGGAGCTCTATCCTTGCTTTGGTACTAGATGTCACCTATGAAAGGGACATCCATCTCTCCTAGTTGCAGTTGAATATACGTCAAATCTGCATCGAAGGTACAGACATGCCAGCCTATACATTTGCATTGCCAATGCCAACTGCTGCATGGATGCAGTACTAATCAATTGACGCTTTCATGGCATGACAATCCATCCTGATCATTTGGCATTTGGCAACCCCACGTTCCTTTGATTCTTTCTCTGATGCCCTTTTCATGTTAAAAATCTATTGTTCGCGTGAGACATAAAAAAATGGGAATTATTCGAGTATTGACAGATATTTGAGCATCACTTACAGAAGCTGCTTATAGACTTTCATTTTATGGACATATATTTTCTTTGTCCAGCAAGGGATGCCCACCACATGCTCCCTGATAATTCATTAATTCAGTTGTCTAGATCGAGATCGCTATAGGATACGCAGCCATTGGTCCACATCTTGGGACTTGGAGGCTTGCAACTTGCATGTATGGCGTGCCTGAGGCCGGATCAGGACAAAGGTGTCCATATATCGCCATAGATAATTGGTGACGAATTATTAGGAAAATAGGTGATTTTGTTTGGAGTTCAAGGAGATCTTTTCATCCTCTTCTTCTCTGTGTTTGCGACATTTTAATTGACAGTGCCCAGGTCAGTTACAGTTATGTTTGGGTCATCAACAAGAGGCAGAAGCGAAGAACTGGTCGTCGTTGGATTTGAAAACCGATCTGAACTGGAAATGCTTTTATCAAATCAAAGGAATTATAACTAGTTATGAAACTATAGTTAACAGTGTTTCCATTCGATATGGACAAATTTGTGGTCATGAAAAGCGGTGATGTGAAGACGAGTCAAAAGTGACAGTTTTAAGGAACTCCAAAAGCCCTGATAAAGTGTTTCATAACAACAATAAGTGCTCCTACATCTAATCAACCAACCTGTTGAAGGTAGTGCGGTGCTTAGAGATATATATTCACATAAGATTGGAATTGAAGCAGTCAAGCACCAAGTTAGGCTGAGGATGGTAGGAAGTGAAAGGTGCAGCACTGCCCTTTCTAACAATTGTTGAATAATTCAGTCAGCCGATGGTCTTGTGCACGGTTTGGCTGCCCAAAATTGATTGGTCCAGAGAGGAAAAAGGGGCGGCTCTCCTGCCTGGCTGCTTTGGGGGGGCATCGCACGTTGCCCTGCTGCTTGATTCAGAAACCTCAGCAATAACTGGCCATACAGATATATTCACAAGATAACAGATCATTCAAAATTGTATGGTGGTTGTCTCCCCAATATGTGGCTTCATCGTGTGGTTCAGTTTTCCTCACAAGGAAAATATGTGATTGGAAGCTAACAACAGTTCCTGCAAGCCGGAGCTGCTTGATTACCTGAAAAGAAGAAGAAGAAAAGCTACTAGAAGCATGATCTTGAAGAAAAAACACCACTTTTTTAATTGCAGAATGACAAACTGGTCTGGCTCCTCGGGTGGCAAAAGCATGTGTAGGATAGGAGTAGGGCATGGAAAGGCTATGACCTTATCCAGAAATGCGGATGAGGAGGTTGCTCTCTTGAGAACCACCACACCACCAAGATTCCAAGAACCGGATTGTTAGATAGGGGGGGTAGATCGATAGAATAGAGATGCAGTAGAGTCTATAGTTTGTTACCTACATCTACATTGTCCCCAACCTAACCAAAGCATTCTTTTCTGATACGGCAAAAAGATACCCTGCTTTGAGAGGATATGAAGGAAAAGCAATCCATTCCAAGCCGATAGAGCTGCAGGTACAAAGTGCAGTGTATGTATCTTTCACGTTTTGTTTTGTCAAGAGACGAAATTTACACGAGTTTTTGGTTTCTCCTGAATGTGTTATAGGCAAAGCTGCCGCCGGACCTGATAAGGTACGAGGCTGCTTTCTGCAAAGCTGCCTCGTCACTCATCACTTAATCATAAATTGAAGCAGCCTGCTTAGTGCAACGGTGACAAATGACAACGACGTCTCGCCTAATTCCGTAATTTGGCGTCGTGATTCATGATCTTGTGCTAGTGTGTTTATGCTCTTGCGCACGTGGTCCGGATCGGATTCGGTGTCCAAAGTTCGATGGTTCGGTAAGAACGGCCGGCCAAAGATGGTTAACATGAAAAATTCCTGTGTCACCCAACAAATTATCCGTTCGGCTTGTTGAAACTTGGCTGAAACTGGCTGAAAACCACTGTTCTGGCTGAATTGTTGTGAGAGAAAAACACTGTTCTGGCTAAAAAAACAAGTCGAACAAGCCGGTTTCCGTGTAAGCCGAACGGGGCCAAATTGTCACTAGTTCATCAACTCATGCTCTCACCGGCTAAGTTTATAAGAGACGTAATCTTGTGATGTCATAAATCTTGATTTTGGTTTTCCAAATTTCAATCTTATCGGTTGCTATAGATTTTTATCCTTAAGTTAATAAAATATATTGTGCTCATTTTATATTTATTAACTCTCATTTTGTATTTTATTAAAAATAAGAGTTTTATGTCACTGCACTCTTAACTATTACAATAACATAAATTGTCGTCTGAATCGACATCATGTTACTCAAGATCACTTATAGAGCTTGAAATGAGATATATGATTGGGTAATGGTGGTCAAGACTCAAGAGGGAGTTATTTTATGTATTTTCATATGGCATTGGTGGGTATTTTTGTCTAAAATAGAACTAGAAGAAACCCCGCGCATTACTACGTGAATCACAAAAGATTTGGAATTAACATAAACAACTTATATTTAGTTGCATGAAGTGACAAATCATTGTAAATAAATTTTAGTGGCTGGTATCATATTTTGAAAATAGAAGGCTAGTGAGGTTTACAATTATGAGATATATAGATATATAGGTATAGATAATAGATATAGATATAGATAGACAACTCGATGGTTATTATTAGCTAGCGATGATGATTAGACTCTAACAAATTAAAGGCTAGATGATTATGATCATTTAAATAATTTTAAGATTTATAATTTTCCTAGCACATCTCATGAGGATTAAAGCGGATGTTTATTTTGGCCCTCTAGTTAGCAATAGTAGTTATTCAGTTGTTAGGTTTAGTTTCAACTGGACAAAAGTATAGTATATATGGTTGTGAATTGTAAGATATTTTGTCTCTTTTAGATACATTATTATTTTTACCATGTATATCGACATAGTGTATATATAAATACTCCTATATAGCAAAAGCTATGTATCTAAAAAAGCTAAAATATCTTACAATTAGAAATGAAGGGAGTATTTATTAGACTCTACCTTTTCATATATATTGGTCAGGGTGAGAATAGTGAAGCTTCAAACATATCTGAAGAAGAACATGAAAAAGATTGAGGAAGAAGAACAAAAAAGTATGAACAAGTTCTCACATAGCAAGTATAGTGATCTTGTTTGAGAGAGAGAGAGAGAACGTTACACTGCTTTTTGCAATGGTTAGAGCTGTCTCACTGAATCACCAGATCACGAGTTCAAAGCAGCCTCTCCGTAGATTTTACGAGAGAAGGCTTGTCTCAGTTTTTTCCTTCTCCAGACTCCACTCATGTGAGAGCCTCCAGCACTGAGCTTGCCCATTTTAAGAGGAACATATTCTCTGCAATTTTAGACGATGTTCTGACATAAAGACGCAAGAAAGATAGTCTGCCGTGAGTCAGACACCGGCTGTAGCCTTAGAATCGGTGGAGAAGTAAAAAAAAAACTATGTTTACGATTTTAATTGATTTTGATCAACATATAGCTAAAAAAATTGTAATAAATTGGCAATATGAATAGGTGGAGACGCTTCGGAAGCCGATGGAGGCGCTGGTGTTATCTGATAGCTTTGAGGTCGACCGCTGGGGATGTGGAGGAGATGATCTTGCGCGCCGCCAAGAAGGGCCACCTGCCGTCGCAGATCGGTGCGCTGCTCCGTGACACGCACGGCGTCCCGCTGGTCCACGGCGTCACGGGCGGCAAGATCCTGCGCATGCTCAAGGCCCGTGGGCTCGCGCCAGAGGTGCCCGAGGACCTCTACTTCCTCATCAAGAAGGCCGTCGCGATCAGGATGCACCTGGACAGGAACCGGACGGACGTGGACGCCAAGTTCCGCCTCATCCTCGTCGAGAGCAGGGTCCACCGCCTGATCCGCTACTACCGCCGCACCTAGAAGATCGCCCCCAACTTGGAGTACGAATCCACCACCGCGAGTGCTCTGGTGGCTTGATGGCTGTGAATTGATTCTCTACAGCTTTGGAGTTTGTCTTAATCCTATGGAAGTTAAGTGATAGTGGTAGCTTTGGAGTTTGTCTTAATCCTAAGGAAGTTAAGTGATAGTAGTAGTACTTTATGCTATGTTACTATGTGAGGTCTTCCCTTAAATTTATCTACCGGATGCACCTAGGAATAGGTATGTATCTTGAGACTTGACAGTTGTGAGACTGGATCAGGTTTTTGACCTTTGAAGCTGCATTATTCAAAATGGTTTGGAGTTGGGCTTAACCTTGAGTAGGTTGGATGATGCTCTCGTCAAAAGTTTAGAATGAAACAAGAGACTTGGTATTTGGTTTCACCTTTTCGCCCTTTCTATCTTGGTCTCACCAATTAGTTCACGTTACAAGTTTTGGTATAGCTTAGCTAGTGTGCTATTCTACATTGTTTGAGATTTGAGGAGCCTCCAAGGGCACAATGATACTTATGGATGTCGGTTTCCTTATCCCATAGTTTCAAATGATCTGTGCGAGTGTTATGTTTGGTTGCCTATATCAAGTTTTTGGTTTAGGTTCTAGAATCATTCAGGGGTGCTGCCTTAGAAATTTGGGATGTAATTCCAATTTGAACTAAATATTAAGGATTTGGATCCTGCTGCCCAACAAGTATCTTTGGTTGGTAAGTAGCATTCCCTGTTCTATTGATGTGTGGTCATGAATCATGCTATGTTTTTCTGTAATTTATTTTCTGAGAGGGGAATAGCTAACAAGTAAGAAGCTTAAAAAGTTGTCAGAGCAATGGTGTTTTTTCTAGGTGGCATTAATTTTAGTTCCATGTCAGGAGATCATGCAATGGTGTTTCTATTTCTATTTCAGAGTAATTTAATCAAGTGACCTTGAAGTTGAGATTTCCTTGTCATTCTATCATGCAATTTAGGGTGAGTATTAATACTTTCACTTTAGAGCTAAAAATAAAAACATTGACTGGCAAGGTTTTAATTGAAATATCGTTGTTTTGGGCTCCTACCTGTCATCTGTCATGTCTGGTTGGTTCCTGGCTTCAAATTTTAACTCTGTTAAAGTAGATTGCATGTCTAGAGAATGTAATAGGGTTATTCATGATTTGGCTGCTCTTGGTCCATGTGCTCTGCAGAAGTCAGCTATGTGCTTGATGTAATTCCGCACTGTACTGTCCTAGTTACTAAGAATATCTCTCATGATTAATTAAAGTGTTGTTTCCTCTAAAAAATGGTTAGTGATATACTCCCTCCGTCCCGTATTATTTGTTGTTTTAGCTCTGGGCATGTGAATTAAGGATGAGTGGAAAAGGTGTGAGAATGACAAATAATTTGGGACAATTGTAGAAAGCTAGAATGGCTCTTATTATGGGACGGAAGCAGTATTTATGTTCAGAGCGTGTCTACTTCTTGATTGGGCTGTTTCCTTTGCTGAGGGTCTAGCAAACATGGTTAGATATGCTAGAATGCTAGACTGCTCGATGGTCTCTGTTCTCACTAACAGTCCACTAGGTTTTCTTAGGGAAATTATTTATATTTTCCTTTTAAGAATTTTATCTCAAAATGATTCAAGACTGGTATTTTGTTGGTTGAATTTATATCATGTACATTCTCTGTGAGGGGTACGACTAAACCTCCAAAGGTTATTATTTTCAGAGCAGTGGTGTAACCGATCCTGTTCCACTAAATTTAGATCTCAAAGCTGTATATAATTTGTATATAGTGAGCTTGAATCTTTGTAACTCCATAACTTGTCTCATGCAATGTTGATTGTTGAGTGACTATTTGCTTTATCGAGCTGGAACCTAGAACTATTGGGTGGCAAGGTTTTAGTCGACTTTGTTTGTTTTGGGCTTTTGGCTAGCTTTCATGTTGTAGTGTCTTGAGATAACCAGGTGATTTTTAAGTTGCTAAGTTCATGTTTATTGTTTGGGTCAGGTCCGTTTACTTGGGATGTTTCCTTGGCAAAGGATCAAGTGTAACAGGCATAGGATAGCTATTATCTCCTTGCTACCACCCCACTGAGAATTCAGGATGAAATTGTTTTGAGAATATTTTGACCATAATGATTATGGATCTGGGGGCAAACCATCTAGTTAGACTTTGCAGTATTTTGACCTTAGTTAGTGTGTCCTTGCTACCAGCTATAGCTCAAAGATCTGGTAATCTGATACACAATCCCTTTAGTCCAATTTAAGTGTAGGTGCTTCCAGTTGTAACAACCAGACATTTTTTTTATCATCACTTGCTTGCACATATATTAGCGGTTGCATATAAGTTTAGTGCCTAATTAGAAAGTCTAATCCCATCCATGAGTGACAATGATTGATCAAATAAAGCATCCGTGCTTTATCATGTGGATGCACTGTTGGCTGGTGCTTGTAGCGCTGGGAATTGTTGTCGCATGCATGCCACTGGTCAAAATAATGCAGCATGATTTTCGATGCAGTTGGATGCTTGATTTGAATTGATCACGGGCATCGTCTGCACTTGCTGTCTGGATTTGATACCATTATTTTTATTATTCGCAAAGGTCTTGAACAGGATTCAAATAGTTGCTGTGTTTGGACTGTTTTGATCACTGCTACAGTGTTTGGTTTCAGTTGTTCAACCTCTTGTGTACGATTTCAACTTTGAAGGAACGAGAAACTCATATCACGGTGAATGATTCAGTTCAGTTGGTTGGATAGTTGGTTTGCATGTATTCCATATATCTTGCTTGATGTGAAGATTAGTTTTTGGGAGAGATGCTGCTCAACATCTCTCTATGTTTTGGACCACCCAACCACTGTGACTGTAATACTGTATTAGTAGTTGGCTTAGTTTATCTCGGGAACCTTGGCTTGGATAGTTGATCTTATTTTTTTGATCTCGGATAGTTCATCTTATTGGTAGACCATGCTTTCGTACTCATGTCTGATGCACATGTTAGCAAACATATTTGTACTGCTGAGTCAGGTCAAGTCAGACAGATCGAGATGCCATCTAGTCTAATGTGGTATACGATGGAGAACAAATTGACTGAGAGCGTACTCGCATGTTCTGGTCAAAGCCGGGCAAGAATTCCCTGATGCCGCAAAGTGCAGGATAAACAAGGACGTTGCTGGTACACTTGCCATGTTATTAAATCGAGCACACCATTGTATATGTATAAATCAGAGATCGCCGGACGTGTTGCCATGGCGCCGTCTGATCGGACAGTTCATCGCCGAGCAATTTTTTATCGCTGGATCCAACAGCTTCCCAGCCTGCGAATCTGCATAAATGGTTGTGATCGATCGTTCAGACAGTTGGGTGCGTACTGTTTTCAGCATCTCACAAAAAAAAAGTCTCATCGGCTTATAGTATCCTCTTCTCCGGTGCGGCGACCTCCGTCCCTCCCCTGCTTGAGCTTCATTTTTGTGTCCATGGCCAGTCTCGTGCACCAGGCGTCCATGCCGGCGCCGATGGCGCCGCCGTGCGACGAGGAGCTGGTCCCGCAGGGCTTCAGCTGCTTCGGCCGCTCGCTGTCGCGGGCGGCGTCGTCGAGCCGGCTCGAGTACAGGGCGCTGCAGCACGAGCAGGGCGAGGAGAGGCGCGCCGCCGCCGCGCAGGACGCGCGGTCGGCGCGCGCCAAGCTGCGGTGGAAGGCGGTGGCGCACGAGATCATGGCCAAGGGCGGCGGCGGCGCGCGCCGGAGGAAGCAGCAGCAGCAGCTGGCGGCCTTCAGCTACGACTCCCGGAGCTACGCGCTCAACTTCGACCAGGGCGCCGACGAGTAGCAGCATCAGCGTGCATGTCTGCGTGCTGAGCTTGCTGCGGGCGGCGGGCCTGCTTGCGGCCGGCTGACCGCCTGACCCTGCGCGCGGTGCGGATCGGAGCAGCGACCCGGGGGAGCAGCGACGACCCGCCAGCGAGGCCGGGCCGGGAGGCGGGAACAATGGCGATCTACCCAAGGTGGAGAGGAAAACATGAGTTTTACTGTGTAAAGTATAAAGATCTACTCCGTGCTAGAGATCAAGTCCAGCCCTTGCTCTAGTTTCCGTTGTTGGAATTTTTCTTTTTTTTCATTCAGATGGCACGATCATGTTTGGGTGATTCGTTCTGGAACGTTCGAGTGGTGCAATAAGAGCTGCCTCCTCAAAAGTAATTTCTTCAGTCCGTGTTACTTTGAGTACCGTTCTTTGTCGCTTCATGCTTCGTCAAGACGTTACAGTATAATGTATGTGCGCCAATGTAGTTCAGGCTCGCCACATCATTCACACTGTCCGTGTAGCTGTTTCTAAGCTGAATCAACCAAGAAGGACAGGATTTCGATGCACCATTCACGTAGGACATGGGCAAATGTGGGCTGGACTATATATATATATATATATATATATAATTTATTTATCTTACCATAAAAAGTCCACATCAAAGATTCACTATAACAACCCACTAGCACATGCAACTATCTACACTAGCAATTTATCTTGCCATACAAAATGTCAACATCAGCATCTACTAAAACAACGCACTAGCATATGCAACTATCTCACCATGCAAAGTATCAATATCAGTATCCACTAATACATCCAACTAACACATGTCATTATATCTTCATTCAAGCTATTCATATTAGCAAACCACATCATTTACTAACAACTCCCTCCGTCCCTAAAAAAGAGTCATTATGAGAAATCATACTTGGTCAAACTTTTCTCGAACTTTGACTAGATTTGTAGAAAATAAATACAACATTTATATCTTCAAATAAGTTTATTATAAAAATATATTCAATGATCTACCTAATGGTAATAATTATGTACCATAAATATTAATATTTTGTTAAATATATTTGGTCAAAGTTAAAAAATGACTTTTTGAGAAACGGGAATGACTCTTTTTTAGAGATAGATGGAGTATATATTTAGTTGTCCACATCAAGATGATAAAAATCATCTACTAACCTGTACTATTGCGATATTTATTTATTTATATTAGTAAATATAAAGAGTATAATTTCACTTGTCATTCCCGCAGCAATGCGTGTGACGTTCTTCTAGTTTGTTTCGATGAACAACACCGAAAGATTGAATCAGGCGGATTTTGTGATTAACTTGCAAGTTCTTCAAATATGCCTGGTTGTCACTGCACTTTGAAAAAATGAACAAGCAAGGTGAACGTTTTTTTTTTAAAAAAAACTAATAGTTGACATAGTCAGCTTGACATCCTTTTTACCGGTCGAATATGTCAGCTGGGTTGTGTGCTCCACGACTCCATCGTTGTACATGACTTCTTTGTAGCAAGACAAGTACCCACTCTGTCTTAAAAAGGGGCAATTCTCGTTGTTGTGACGTCAAATAATTTTAAATTTGATCAAATCTAAAAAGAAATAGCAACATTTATATTTTCGAATGATTATTATTAGATTAATTATGAAATACGTTTTTATAGCACAGGCATAAGTTTATAATTTCATAGATCTTAAGAAATATTAGTTTGGTTTCAATCTAGAATTCTACTTAGTATAAGCAAATCATTTTTTTTGGGAGAAACATAAGCAAATCAGCATGGAGAAGACTCTTGGGCCTTGGCCAGCCCTCGGCATCAGCAACAAATCAAGAGCCCTTCGTGAGAGAACACGTCGGTGCCAGCAGCAACGGAGCCCCACCAGGTACTGAGGCACCGCACTGCCCATGGACGCACGCCTCGCGGCGCGCCCACCCCGCGCGCGTGCCACTGTCCGCCTCCCGTTTGCCTCCTCCACCGCAACGCGGCGCGCGGGGTGGTGGTGCCCTCGCGATCCTCGTGTCGATTCCAGCGGCGGGGGTACCTTTCCCTCACCTGGCCGTTGCCCGCGCCTCGCGGTCGCGCACCGGAACCGGAGCCCCGCGGCGAATCTAGGTTTGCCTCCGCCTCGTCCTCTCCTCCCGAGACTCCCAGCGGCTGGAATTAGGACGAGGGTAACAGGCGAAGGAGACTGCGAGGGACGCCCCCTCGTCGAATGCACCGGCGACCGATCTGTTGAGGAGCAGCCGGAGCACGCAGGAGGTTAGTCTAGGCACGTACGTATCGCCTCTAACCCTCCTCTTTCCCCCCTAGACGATTCGATCCAATGTGCTTGCTGTTGGCTGATCGGGTTACGCGGATGCCGGATGCGTGTAAATTTGAGCGGAATTCCAGATTTAGTCCCATTTATTCGGAGTAGTGGACCCCATAATCATATTTCCTTCACTTCCGCGAAATTTTGCACTTGATCGTCTTGAGTTGGTGGCGAAATGCTTATTCTGGGTTTCTAACTCTACCTCGAGCGCGACGATGGTTGGTTGTGGGCATTTTATGCGGCCGTGAGGAGGACCGAGGAGGCCACGGGGCCAAAAGTGTGTGACAGTGACGCGGTGATTGGGGGCCGGGGGGCGCAGGGATGTCCGGATCAAGGGTCTAGAGAAAGGGAAGGATTGGAGAATTGGTTTAGACAATTCGAGTGTGATGTGAGTTAGGATTATTCTAAGCGTCAACAAGCTGCCTACCAGTTCATTTTCCAAACTGGTTTAGATCTGTTTGTCTGATTACTGACCTAACCCCTTGCTTTGTACTCCTATTTACTATTGTGACTTTTGACTCGAGGAATTAGAAAGCACAGCCTAATTCATTTGTATAGATTGCTCGTAGCAATCTGTTCTGTTATTGTTTATAAAATGTTCAATAAAGAGCTGCTATTAATTGAGAAGAGAATCTACTAATTGATGGGCCAGAAGTTGCATGTTTTTTCATTTGCTTGAAAAGAATGGAGCCTTTCTTGTTGTTTTCTGAATGATATAACTGGACACTGTAGTTGAGGGGAAAGCTTTGAAAATGTCATCCACTGTGCCAAAGTCATCAAATATCTTCTGGCATGATTGCCCAGTTGGCAAGACTGATCGCCAGAAGCTACTCAAGCAGAAAGGCTGTGTTGTCTGGATTACAGGCCTCAGTGGTTCAGGTAAGCAAACCTTGCTTTCTCTCGAACTGGTTTGTTGTGTGCTTTTTGCACTGTTGATGCAATTGTTTAAATTTCCAAGCTAAGATAATGTCAACTGCAGTTGGTGACTAATGGCTTTCTAGTTCTCTTCTCTCTGCATCCGTGCATTTCCATCTTGTTCACGAATTTGGCCAAAACTTTTATTTGTTTCAAGAAAATAAGTTCAACTCTGTTCTAGATTTATCAATAAGAAACCTATTCATTTTGGCCTGGATAATTTACACACCTTATTTTCACTTGCCTTAAATTCATACAAATAACTTTCAGGCTCTTAAATGGTAAATATGCACTGAAGCTGTGTAGTACTTACATAGTTTGCTGACATGTATTGATGCTCTTTTGGGCGGTTACTCTGCTGGTCTCTTGAAGATTGGTTTAGTTTAGTTTAGAGGGGAAGTGCCTTGAGCACCTTGATGAATCTCTTGTAAGCTGGTGACCCCAGCAGAACTAAACTTTGCTTTCTATGCCAAAGGGTCTCTAGCCTAGTGGTTAGAGCACCTGGGTAGCATCCAGCAGGCCTAGGTTCGACTCCCCGTGGGAGCGAATTTAAACAGGTCTGGAATAAAAAAAATATAAAAAAATAGGTTGGGGTTTCCCCTGCTGACTTCGGTCATAAACTTTGCTTTCTATAAATTGGGACCAATGGTCTTTGGTCTAAAAAAGGTAAATATGCAAAGTTTCCAAAAGAACTGTAATATATTTTTTTTCCCCAATTTGTATGGCATATGCCTATTCTGTTTACTGTCACTACATTCCCTCTTTACAGTATCTTCAGGACTTATATTGCATTTTTTTTAAAATAAATAAATCAGAATCTATTTTCTGTTCTTTCAAAGGATGGCTACATTAAATGATAAATCTCCAATGCCATTTGTGTTTCCAATCGAAACTTTTAGTTTTTTAGATGGTATTTTTTTTATCTAATTTCTTTTCAATTTTTTTCATCTTGCCAAGGTAAAAGTACGTTGGCATGTACATTAGGTCGGGAGCTCCACACAAGAGGGAAGCTTGCATATGTCCTTGACGGTGATAACTTAAGACATGGTCTGAACAAGGATCTTGGCTTTAAAGCTGAGGATCGTGCTGAAAATATAAGGAGAGTTGGTAAAGTGTCTCGCCAACATAGATATGTCTATAATATTTAAAGAAACTCCCATGAAAGTAAAAGAATGATAAACAAGTCCTGCATTTGCCATTATTTTATCTTTCCAGCATTCTGCAGTTCACATTTTGTTTCAACTATTTTGGACAGGTGAAGTAGCAAAGTTATTTTCAGACGCAGGCCTTGTATGTATTGCAAGTTTGATATCTCCATATAGGAGAGACCGTGAATCTTGCCGTGCATTGTTGTCTGATGGTAGCTTTATTGAAGTAAGAGATCCATTTTATTTGTTTTATATTTAGTGAACTTAGCGGCCGCATGGGTTTACCGCCAAAGACCTGTGAACTTTTGCAGGTTTTCTTGAACATGTCCTTGGAATTGTGTGAAGCAAGGGATCCAAAGGGCCTCTATAAGCTTGCTCGTGCAGGAAAAATAAAGGGTAAGGTTCATATGATGCTTGGTGTCCAAAATGGAAATAGTTAAAGTGCTTAGTGCTTCCTGCAGAGCAAAATTGGATCAAACCTGAAATGTTTTTAAATGTGAATCACATTTCTGGCTTGTTCTGTAATGTTAGGTTCACTGCCTAAAGAACAATTTAAAATACTAATTGAGTCTAATTATGCTTTCTTTGGGAAGCAGCTCCTTAGTTCTGATATGATTTTGCAGCGACGGTCAAATTTTGATGATGCATGTACTGTCAATGTGAAAATGATTTTATTTTCTCTAACACGCAGGAGAGCTGTGTATCATTATATTAAGAATAAGAAAAAGGGTATAAGAAACCTTAGAACAGCCACTCACACCAGCACCCTTTAGACTAAGACAAAAATGATCTTGACCTGGACCTGATAATACACTACAAATGTAGCCTTGGGGCAATCAGATTTTTGGCCACATGCTATGTTTAGATTCTTCTATTTGGTTCCTTGGCTATACTGTAATGACCAATGGTGTTGCAGCTAGAAAATGTGTAAGCTTACTTGTAGGTTCTATTTTGTTACTATACTCTTTTTTCACATTTGCTCACTCATTGATCATGTTACTTCTGAATGCTGAATTTAAATAAATTGAACTTTGTTTTGAATCTGGACCAGACCTGAACCATGGAGTTAGAGTTAGATGCCAGTGCATGGTAGGGCCCTTAAATATTTTCTTTTCAGGTGTCAGAACGCCCATTTGTAAGTTAGCTCAAAGTGTTCTCTAGTCAAGAAATGGAAAAGAAGAAAATGAGTAAGCCTGAAAGTTTTAACCATTAATCATCTACTGTAAAAGGTATCTTATATTAACAGAAACATGTTCACTGCAAAAATTCCTTGTGGGCAGGCTTATCTTCATTTTTAACTCATATAGAGTTTAGTCACACTTCAAGTTTTAAACATGGTTTGTTGCAGGTTTTACAGGAATAGATGACCCTTATGAAGCACCACTGAATTGCGAGGTACATCATTATATTAGATTTTCTGTCATCTTCACATGTTGAAGTGATGTAGCTGTTGGTTTTGGTCCATATCAAAAATTGGTAGCCTGAAACTCGAGATTCAATGTCATAGGAAATGCATGGTCGGATTAAGAGAAGAGAGTGTGCTTTATCATTTTCTTTTATTGCAACATGGTGAGTTTTGTAGGTTTAACAGGCTGTTTAGCTGTTTGCATAGAAGGACAGTTGTGGGAACGTTGGCTACACCACGGCACTAATAAGTATATATGAGAATCTTCACAACATTCTAAAAGTGTCATATTTATAGCTGACAAAGATGGTTAAATTGCTTACCTGGTATAAGAGCGAAATCATGTTTGATTCTTTTCTATGCTGGTATCAAGTTAGTACTCTTTGTTTATGACCTATACACGTGACTCCCTTGCTTTACTTGCAGATTGAGATCAAGGAAGTAGATGGTGTATGCCCTTCGCCTTCTGACATGGCAGGGCAAGTGGTGACTTACCTTGAGGAGAAAGGATTCCTACACGAGTAGGCTGAATCCAAGCAACATTCGGGGAAGATTTCAATAAGACTAGCGCAGAATAAGTCAAAAGCGCGGCATTTATCTCTTGTGAGCCTGTTCGTTTCGTCGTAAACGATCGTGGATTATTTACTGCTGGCTGGTTTGGTGTGAGAGAAAAATACTGTTCCAGCTTATAATCCACGATTGTATACGAGCAAGCGAAGTATTTTCTTCCTGTACTTCCTCTGCCACAAGTTCCATGCAGTTTCTTTCAGATGAGCCTAGATGGTTCATGATTTCTTTGACTTCTGGAATAGATGACTTGTATTGCGATTCTGATAACCACTTGGGGGCAATATCGATGTGGCAATCATTGTCAGGGGAAGGTGCACCTAATGTTAATAGAAGCTGTCTTCTTATTATGCTCCACTTTCTGCAGCGCCGAGATGTACAGCGTGTTAAGGTTTCAGTGTTGACATTGACACGCTGAAACATCCGCGTGTGGCAAGGTTTCAGTATTGACACGCGGAAACATCCGACTGTGGCGTGTTGCATGTGGCAGGTTACCAGTACCAGGACGTCAACCATATTCAAGCCCTAAAATTCTTCGACAAGTGTAATGCAAATATTTTTCTTCAGTCAACCTGAACTTTGGTCATGACTAGATTGCCTCGCTTGCTCGATCTGTGGTTTTGCTTGCCAGCATCAACAAGCGTTGGGATAAAGGTCGTATGTATATCACGGGAGTAATGCGCTCGGCGCTCCGCGTCCGCGGACAGGTTGGACCCGGTAGGGCGGTACGCTGGAATTGGCCAAGTACTACATCAGCGTGCTGCTGCAACGTGCGATTTTTACCGTGGTCTACTGTTCTATGCATCCGGGCACAGCAGGATCTGTCACCGCTAGGCGTCAGCACGAGAAAATGTCCCGGTACCTGCGTACAGGCGTACAGCAGTCCAAGGAAACTCCCGCTCAGCACACGAGAAAAAGACCAACACAAAACCGCCGGGCCGTGCGCCTTCCTCGCGCGCGCGGCGGCGGGGACTTCTGGGCGCCGGCCCGCCGGTTGGCCATCGCCCCTGCCTCACGGAGTCACGGGAATCACCCTCGCCCGCACAGGCGCACACGTAAAAATTCCCGCGCGCTCGCTTCGCTTCGCTTCGGCTCTCACCTCTCAGCCTCCCACATTCCCACTCCACGCAATGACGCAACCAGATTAAAAAGCCCGCACCCAGGTTTACACCGCGCGCGGCAACGCGACGCAAAACCCGACGAAGCCAAACCGAGCAAGCAAAGCAAGCCTCCGACCGACCCCCGGGCGCGCGAGGATCGGAAGCTTAGCCAACGAAATGGTGTTCAGCGTCTCGTTCGTGGCGGCGGCGGCGCGCGTGCCGGCGGAGCTGTGCCAGCGGCCCCCGCGCCCGGGGCGGCGGCGGGTGAGCGCGGACGACGTCCTGCGCGCGCTGTTCCTGCCGCCGGCGCGGGAGCTCGTGTGGCTGGGGGACTTCCTCTTCGCCTTCTTCTGCCTGCCGCTGCCGGAGTACTACCTGCCAGGGTCCGGCCGCGGCGGCGGGTGGGTGGCGCGGGTGCCCGACGCGGTGCTGTACACCTACCGGAGGTCTCTCTCGGTCAGCTCGTCGTCCTCATCCTACTCGTCGTCGATGTCTTCGTCGGAGGAGGACTGATTGCCGACGAGGAATAATAAATTGTATAGGTTGCGGAATGCAACGACCGTGCTTGTGTTTGTTTTTTTCTTTGTGCAGGAGAATCCATTAGGTGTAACTTGTACGCCCAATTCTTTTGTGACCTCTGTATATATCCAATGATTTGATATAGATAAATATTCAGGTTTCTTGTGAGCTGCAAAATCTAAATGATTCATTTGGCTTTCATCAGTCTTCGCAGTACTTTACCTTTTTTAGAGGGAGCAACTTTTAATAATGTAACATCTTTTGTAATGTGATTTTTTTTCTTTTTTAGTGGACATCTGTATATAGAAAATCTGGACAAATTGTTGCGTGTTCAAAGGCCCCCATGCTTGTAGAGGCCCGGCGATAACTAAAATGGGCCTCAGACAATGTCAGCCTATTAGCCCAGTTCGGTCTCGGACGGGACGAGCAGTTGGCCAGTTACGACCCAATGTTTTTTTTGCAATTTGGTCTTTTTTTAAAGAAAATTTACGTTTAACTCCCTGAACAACGGAAAACCGATCTTTGGACCTTGGGGGTTGGCGCCGTGGCCTACGGCGCGAGGTAACACATCTCGGCGCTGTAGGTCTTGGCGCCGAGATGCCTGGCTGGGAAAAACGGGGCATCCAAGTGGCGCTGACGTGGCAGGTAGGTCAGCATCACGGATCCTAGCGCCGAGATCGGAGCCACAGATCTTGGCGTCAAGGTCGGAGCCACAGATCCTGGCGCCGAGGTCGGAGCCACAGATCCTGGCGCCGAACTCGGAGCCAAGATCCCTGGCACCGAGCTCGGAGCCACAGATCTTGGCGTCGAGGTGTTATACCTATACCGCGCGCCGTCTTCCTCTTCCTCTCGACTCCGACGCGAGCTCTCTCTCTGTCGTCGTTCCAGCTACCGCCCGCGCCACCACCTCCAGCCGCCCGCGCCACCGCAGCAGGCCGCGGCACCAGCTTCGAAGAGCTCCGCGCCCCTGTCCGCTCCCTCGGCCCCCCTCGTCGCCCCATCCTCCTCCTCCGCGCGCGCCGGCGGCGAGGGCCGCCCCCGCCTCTCCCCGGCGTCGCCGCCGGCCAGAGGGCCACCGACGGCCGCGCCTGGCGGCGCCGCCACCCACACCCCCCCGGCCGCCCTGTGAGGCCACCCCTCTCCCTTGGCCGGCCGTCAACCAACTCAGGTAAGGTAATTTTTTATTTTCTGTAGTTTCGTTTTATAATTTAGTTAGTTTAGATAGTTTAGTTAGCTAATTTAGTTATATAGTGATGTAATTTAGTTAGTTAATTGAGGTATTTAGTGAGACAATTTAGTTATGTAGAGGTTATATATTTAGGTAATTTAGATAGATTGTTTGATTGTTAGTTATTATTTATGTATTTTTGTAGGTAGTTAATTTAGCTATTTAGGTTATTTGTAAGTTAGATAGTTAGGTAATTAAGTTATATCTAGGTAGTACTTGTAGTAACTGTAGTTAGTAAAAGAGTTAAATGCACTCTAGGTCCACAAACTTGTTTAGGGGTGCCAGATAGGTCCATAAACTTGGAAAATGCATTTGTGGCACAATAATCTTGAGTTTTGGTTCACTCTAGGTCCATGTTGCCAAATAAGCAGGTTTATGCTGATGTGGCGTGTCCAGGGTGGACTGAGCCTCCCAGCTGTGTCACGTGAGTGGCGCGTGATGCCTGCATCCTCTTTGCCAATATACAGAAAGCCCCCGCCGCATCCTCCTTCGCTCTCTCTCAGTCACTGTCTCTCTCTCGGGCTCCCCTGCTCCCCTCATTCTCTCTGCCCTTGCCTGCACCCTCCACTCTGTCGATCTCCTCCATGGCGCAACAGTGGATTGGCTCGGTCCCGAATCGGCGCAACCTTGACCTACCTCTCATCATATGCTCGGATTGCAGCCGGCGGAGGGTGGTGCGGCGGGTTTCAACGCAGGAGCACAGCCGAGGGTAAGTTTTTTTTACTGTTACCCCTTCCATAAGGTAAGTTAGGGTTTGGAAAGTTTGATTCTTGGTTGCTTGTGAGCTGCATCTCTATCTTGATTTCATTTTGGCTGCAGAGGAATTCGGGTTGTCCTTTTTTCTACTGGGAAGATGAGTATGAGGAGCATCTGAAGGTGCTAGCCAGGGAAGTACTGTTGGCTCCATTGTTGGCAAGTGATGGAGAGCACAGCACTAGAGTTCCCAAAGTGGAGGCAGTAGCTTCTGAGATGAAGGATATTGGGCTGGTAGCACCTAGGGAAGAACCAATGGTGAAGGAGTCAGGAGTGTTAGCAGTAGCACCTAGGGAAGAACTGCTTGTGACATTGAAAGCTCTATGTTTTGTGTGTGTTTGTATGCTAGTAGTTCAGGTGCTGATCTTGTTAGTGTTGTTAGTGAAGTGAATGGCACCATGTAGTGTTAGTACTGTTAGTGTAGTCAATGACATCATGTAAATTGTTAGTCTGTACTTTTGTTAACCATAATGATGTAATGGAATGGCAGTTAGTATCATACCATTGATCTTGAAATATTTGACACAAATTGTGAACCCAGTAATCTTTGAGGCTGACAGAAATATTTGACAGGCAATGTGAACCCAGGCAAAATTTTAACAGACATTATGGACACAGGAAATATTTGACACCAACTGAGCTTGACATTGCATTGAAAAAGTTCACAAGCAGCATTCATGGCAACCAAGTCACCAACAGTAGCACTTTCATCTTACAGAACCAAAAGCATGTCATCTGTGCGTAACTGGTATCACCACCAGTCAATCAAAAGCATCTATCACCACCTGTGTGTCCTGGTGCCACCACCACTAAGTTACTCTAGTAATCTGACTTCCACTAAGTTACTCTAGTACCAAAATGATATCAGCATCCAAGTGTTACATCACATTGTTTTGGGTGCTACATCACATATTTATACACAAGTTTTTTTCTGTTGGAGTAGTCTTCTTCCCTGGCTTCTTTGCAACCTGAGGTATCTCCTTGGGATTTATAGGCACCTTGCGCTTTCCTACTGCGGCTCTTCCTTTCTTGGTAGCAGTAGATGGTACTATAGGTCTTGCAGCAGGCAGGTTTGACATGATGAAGGTTGAGTCAGGCAGAGGTTGAGGTTGGACGCTTGATGTTGCAACCTGTGTGTACTAGTACAATTCTATAGTCAGGTTGTGAAATGCAAAGGAAAATAGTAACAGTCATGATGTTCTGTACATACCTCTTGGTCCAGATGTGAAATCATTGTCTCTATTACCTCTACACTTCCTTCTATAATATGAGACCATGGTGGCTGACTCCCATCTACAAAATGGTACACAGTCTGCAACAGAATAATGTCAGTGAAATGAGACAAATTTGTTGCATGGTAGTGAAATGAGACAAATTTGTAGCACTGCAAGTACCTGAGCCCTTGCATAATCATACATGTCTTCTTCATGCATATTACTTGGCATTGCTTCCCCTTAATCTGACTGTCTTATTTCTTCATCTTCAGCATTGGTCTCTGGCTATTTTTAGGCATCAGTCCTGCTTTCCTAAGCTGGCAGCCCTTCTTATTGTGGCCTTTGTCTCCACAGTAGCTGCATGTCATAGCCACTCCATGTTTTGACAGCTTTACTTCACATGCAGATTTCTATTTACATTGGTAGTTTCCTTCTATTCTTTGAAGGCCTACCCACCTTTTTCTCATACTTGGGAGGTAGAACCTTGGGTGCAGATACCTTCTCCTAGGTGGTCTTATCACTACATGGCATGATCTTAGGACCATATGCTACAAGGAACCTTGCAGAACTATAACAGTCATGGACCATTGATTCTGTAGGAATTCTTTCATTCCTAAGACATGAGATGGCATGGGAGCAAGGTATTCCAGTGAGATCCCATCTCCTGCACTCACATTTCTTGAGTCCTATATCAACTATGTAACTATGGTCCCTATCTTGAACCTAAAAGATTCCTTTACCAGAAGGGATGGCATAACATGTGTTTGGCCACTCAGAAATCTTATTGACCTTTTTCCTTATTTTGGGACATATTGGACCCTGCCACATATCTCCATGTTCTTTCTCCTTGGAGTAGTGCCTTGCCATCAATTGATTCTTAATTTGCTCTATCATACTCAACACAGGCATTTCTCTAGCATCTAGGATGAATTTGTTGAAAACCTCACAACTGTTATTCAATAGGATGTCACACTTGCTGTAAGTACTAAAAAAGATCTAGACCATGTGTTAGGGGGCATTTTCTCAACCCACTTATAAGCCTTCTCATCTAGCACCCTAAGTTTATCCATGTTTTTTGTCCACTGAACTACAGTACTAGATCTTGCACATGCCCAGAGTTGTTTTTTCAAGTTCTCACCTTTGAAGTGTTGTTGGAAGTTGGAGTACATGTGTCTAACACAAAATCTGTGCTCAGACTCTAGAAATACTTCACCCACAACTTTAATTAGGCCCTTCAAAATTCAAGTACATAGATTGTCATAAGTATACAACAATCACACACAGTTGTCATAAGTTCACAGATTTAACATAACTTCGACTACAATGAATGGAAGATTCCTCACCTTCTGCTTGTCAGTCATTAGTGTCTAGGGGTATGTGTTCTCAATCCCTAAATCCTGCTTCAGTGCTATCAAGAACCATCTCCAAGAATCTAAACATCCCACCTCAACTACACCAAAAGTAATAGGGAAGATGCAATCATTAGGATCAATTCCAACTGCAGTAAGCATTATACCACCATACTTAGTCTTCAAATGGCACCCATCCAAACAAATTAGAGGTCTGCATCCTCCAAGAAATCCCCTTTTGCAAGCACCCAGAGACACATACAGTGACTTGAATATGTTGCCATCTAGGTTAAGGTAGAAGGTGCTATAAGGATTGGTCTTCCTCAACTCATGTGCATAATCCCAAAGCATGTTATATTGTTCATCTTCATCTCCCAGCACCTTTTTCATAGCCAACCTTCTAGCTCTAGCAAGCTTGGTCCTTGATGGAGTAAGATTCCACTCCTTCTG